TTTCTTCCAAGATTTCAAGGAGTAGATTATCAATGCCCTTATTAGTTTCCTCACCTCCTGGGATACCAATTGTCTTGATGTTTGGGCATTTAATGCCGTCTAATATTTCTCGTGTAGTATTCTTATTTTTGGGGGTTATTTTTAAGTTTTGTTTTGGTTGTTTTTCTAGATCAGAGGTTTTGCCTTCAACATCAGAGATTTGATTTTTTGCATGGACTAAACAGCTTTTAATTCGTTTTTTTTTTTTAAAGAGGTTTTTGTTATAGGGCGCGTGCGCTCGCCAGACAGACAGAGAGAGACAGAGAGATAGAAAGCGAGAAATCACCCTCCGGGAGAATGGCCACGCCGCAATCCCTTCTCCTCCATTCTCCTCTCGGGATCTTGGGCACACATGCACACACACCCGTCGTGAGTTTTAGCCACCGGGTCCAGGAATCGAAGCGCAGTCGACTACGTGGGAGTCTAGCGACATAGCCATTACGCTAACTGCTGGTCCCTCTGCTTTTAATACTTTTGAAGGAGGTTTTGAGTTATTGAAGTGCAGCCTTCATCTCTAATAGCTCCATTTGATTCTTTTTTATGGTGTGTATTTCCTCTTTCAGGTCATGGAAGAACTTCCTCACCTCCTGGAGGTCGTTGTCTCTTTTCTTCTGGAGTTCATTATCTCTGAGCTCTTGCATCTTGTTTATTTTTTTCAATATGAATATTCTGAATTCTCTATCAGACATTTCCATGAGTTCTACTGTACTGTCTGGATCATGAGGGATTGTTCTTTTCCCTTAGGTGAGAGCTATTTTCTTGATTTCTCATGTTTCTTGTGATCTAGGTTTGTGGTCATTCTGTGACAAAAATCTTCCCTCTACTGTGCTTTGCAATGGATATCCACAGAAAGATTAGGAGTTCAGATTTATAAAAAGAAATTTCTTCACTAAAGCAGGTTCAATAAGCAGTGAGGATTTCAATGACTTTTAAAGTATTCAGATGCTTTGCTATTGTGAACCTAGGCCTATCTAGACATTCCGTGTGTGGAGAGTGAAGGTTAGAGTGGGGAAGTAAGGTTAAAAAAATGAGTAAAAAGAAAAAAAAATAGAAAAATACTACCAAAAAAGAAGGAAAAAATTTTGTTTTTACACATAGAAAATGAAAATTGCACATCGTGTTAGTGCATGAACATGACAGGACACACTTCAGCTTTAAAATGGTTTCTGAAATTAACAAGTGAAAGAAAAGGTCCAAGGTGAGGAAAAGTGGTTGAAAATTCTAAAAAAAGAAAAAATTAAAAATTTAAAGAGAGAATGTGAGACAGACAGAGATACAGACAGCCAGAGACAGAGAAAAGATGGAGGTCGTCCTACCTTGTCTGAATATTTTGGGAGTCTAGGAGATGGAGACTAGAGCATGGATTCCCTGAACTGGCTAGGGCACACCTCAGCTTTAAAATGGCTTCTTGTCTGAATATGTCTGGAGTCTAGGAGATGGAGTTTAGAGTGTAGCTTCCCTCAAGTTTCCCATTTTTATAATTCTCTGTCAGCCCTTCCTGAAGGACTTTATGCTCTGTGCCCCTGGGGCTGTGACCTGGCTCCTACGCCACTGTTAATCCCTGGTTCTGGGCACAGTGTGTGGCACATGGAATCATTCCATGCAGAATTGTGTAAGGAATGGGTGAGTGAACCAATGAGGCCTCACACGCTGTCGTAGTGTGGGCTGCCATGGCCTACTAAGGATTATAACCCAGGTGGCTTAGGGACAGCAAATGCTTACTTCTCACTATTCCTGAGTCAACCTGAGAACACACTGGGTGCACAGGGACCCGAGGTCCTGAAGAGCTGGAGGGCTGGAGAAGTGGATCACGGGTGGGGGGGATCACTGCTTCATTAGACCCTCTCGAGGGTCTCTCTCTCACTCTGTCTCTCATGCATTCACATTCTCTCTCTCATGAATAAAATAAATTATCTTTAAAAATGTCCAAAAAAAGCAAAAAAAAAAAAAAAAAAAAGGTTGGGATTTTGCTGCCTTCTGGGTACCTCAGGCACTATAGCCTGGTTGATGTTGAGCCATTCGGTTTGGAGGTCAGTGTGAGAGGAAGTGAGGAAGAACCCACAAAGAACTCAAAAGGCGAGCATGTCTACATAGGGCTGGGTCTCAGGAGAGTGCAGGAGAGACCTGAATTCAGAGAGACAGAGACTGGAAAGGGCAGTGGTCCCCAGAGAGTGGGGGAAGGAGCTGGACAGGAGCTGGACCCTGGAAGGTTGGGGGCGGAATTTGGAATTATGATGTCACCTATCATCAGGGAAATGCTTGACTCATCTTCCCTCACCCTCTTGGCCTTATTCCCAGGTCCCACACCCTTTGGCTGGCTCTGACAGGTTTTTCAGAACAGGAAAAAGAGAGGAGGAAAAATAATGCCCCTGCACCCCCGCCCTTACACCCAAGCAGTGGGAGTTACAAAGCTCTCTCTGTTGAACAGAATCTCAGAACAAGAACATTTCTCCCACATAGAACCAGCCTTCAGATAGGGGAGAGGTTCTCACCGGCCTCTGAAGCCCCATTAACTCCCGATGTTCTGGAAACAGCACTGGTAACAAGGTGTTTCAGTTCTGATGAAGATGAGTGGAGTTTTTCTGAAGCAGGAACTCTGGAAGGCACTGGAGATTGAAGGGCTCGCACTCAGCTTCCTCTGGCCCTGGGAAGCTGCCTGGTTTAGAGCACCAGCCTCTTGTCTTGGCCACTCTTTCTGCGGAAAGGTGAACTCGGAGCCACAGCAGCCGGGTGTAGGCCATGCCCGGAACATGCTGACCTTCCTTCCTCCTGTCTCCTTTCTCCCGTTTACAGCTGTTCCTTCAACCCAGGGGGGACACTGGCTTCCTGGTTCCTGCCGAGCAGGAAATGCAGGAGCTTGGCCTACCCAGGGCACTGGGGCAGAAGCCCTGAGTTGCACCAGTACATGGCCGGGGAGTACGAACAGGTCACACAGCATCTCTAAACTGAAGAGTGAACTGCGCCCTCCTTACCTCACAGGGCTCTTGGGGGAAATATTAGATATATTATATATTATAGGAGATATATTAAGTATGTGTCCATAAACCATAAAACATTACATAATGCAAAAAATTATGGAATTCTCATAGGGTCAACGAGTTGGATGGGGCCTTAAAGAGCACCTATATGTACTTATGTACTGTGTGCCAGGTGTCTGTCTAAGGTCTTTATCCATACAGAAATATATATACATTTATAAACTTATTATAAGGGATGTGTGCTTGTCAGGGAGAGATGGAGGGGGAGAAGGAAACTGAGAAAGCACCTCCAGGGGGTTGGCCACTTGCAATCCCTCCTCTTCCAGTTTCAAGATTTTTGTCACACGTACACACACACACACACACACACAGTGTCTTTTAAGTGCCGGGTCCAGGACTTGAACTGCACAGTCTGCTATTTGGAATCCAGCTGTCATGCCACGGCCTGGCCTCATCTTTACATACATTTCTTTTCCTTTTCCTCTTCCCTCTCTCTTCCCTTTTCTTTTTTTGTGCGAAGAACTGGATAGAAGGGGAGAGATTCCCTAAGGTTTTTTTTTTTTTTTTTCTTCCTTTTTTAAACAGAAGAAAACAGGTTGTGTGGTGAAGGAATTGGGGTAGGAAATTATGTCTGGTATCTGTAATCGAGAATTCATTGATTTTGTTTCATAGCATGGACTGGGTGAGATTCTTCCAAGAAAAAATGATCAGTCCGTTGGCCTCACATATTGGATTATATTTAAGAGGATAAAGGGACAAGATGTTTGAACTCGGAGACGTTTTGGAAAACCCTGTAGGATAGCGGGCAGAAAAGTGTCTGTTGAGCTCCTTCAATTGGCAAGTCCAGACTGGTTCTTTTCAGACTTAAAGAAAAAAAGGAGGAAAAGTGAGGTTCCACTCGTAGAACTGGCAATCACACGCACGACGCATTCTCGATTCCAAGCAGGGCTTTTCTTTCCAGTTGTTTGTTTGGGTTGGCGAGGACACTGGGGACCTGGACGTCCCACTGGCCACTCGGAGTTCGTCCTCCCGGTCGGGGTCACCGCCCCCAGCCAGCAGGGCCGCCGCCTTCCGGGTGCGCGCC